CTTTAACGGTGCCTAAAACGTGGATTCGAGGACGAATCCCTCTAAAGAAAGATGGAATGTTGTCGGCACGAGAATTAACAATTGGTTGTTAGAACATTTTAGAATTAGTGTTATTAATTAATTAGGATGGTTATCTATTATTAATGTTTATCTTAGTTTGTTAATTAGGATTAGTTTATCATTTTCTTAATAACTATCTCATTTATGTGGTTGTAATTTGCTTGTTAATGGCTATTCAAGGCCATTGCATGCCAAATGAAATACAAAGTTGAGAATTTTCACTACAAGAAAAATGCACAAATACAACACTAGAAAGACAACAATTTTTAAGAAAAGTGTTGTCTTTTGTATAAAAGACAACAGTTTGGTCCAAAACCGTTGTCTATGATGCAACACTTTTGTCAAAGACAACGGTTTTTAGTTAACCATTGTTATAATTGTGTTGTCTTTGTGCATTTGTGAAAAGACAACACCACAATGACAACGGCTTTTTAAAACCGTTGTCTATGTGCATTTTTTTTTAACAATTGCCGTTGGTGAGTTGTCTTTAAGCGCACTGGAATACACAACACTAGAAAGACAACCATTGTTTAAAACCGTTGTCTTTGTGCGCTCTTTTTTTTTTAAAAAAAAAAAAAGACAGCGGTTTTATTTAACCGTTGTCGTTGGTGTGTTGTCGTTAAGTGCACTTGAATACACAACACTAAAACCACAATGGTTTTATATAACCGTTGTCGTTGCGCGTTCTTTATTTGTTTAAGACAAAGGTTTTATTTAACCGTTGTCTTTGGTATGTTGTCTTTAAGCGTATTTGAATACATAACACTACAAAGACAACGGTTTAAAAAACCATTGTCTTTGCGCATCATTATTTAACAGGTATATAAAATAAAATCAAGGATGTTAACAATAAGAGTCGAACTTATGCCCTCAAACTTAATAAGTAAGGTTTAACCAACTAAACAACACAAACTCTTATGTTTGAAGGTGCAACATCTGGTATATAACTGGGTTGCTTCTCTGTTGTTTGTGAAAACTGAGACAACAATTTTAGAAAATAGTTAAAAAATTCCCCCTAAGAAAAATAGAACTTGAGACCTCAAACATAATAATCTAAGCTAAACCCACCAGGCCATACCAACAATTGTGTAGTCGAGCGCAATATCTAGTATATTACCAGTTGGTTTATGTGTTGTCTTTGAGAACCAAGACAATGATTGTATAAAATAGGTTAAGAATACCACCACGAAGGATAGAACCCAAAACCTCTAACATAACAAACAAAGCTAAATCCACCAAGCCACACAAACTCTTATGTATTAAAGTGTTACACCTTATCTTTTACCTACAATTTAACAAAGAAAGAATACAATTCAAAAGTTCATTTAATAGTTCTATTTTTGTTCATATTTAAATATAAAATTATTCACCAAAATTTCAAAGTCAATTCATTAAAGTTTTATTTTCAATTATATTACAATTAAAACCAATCTATGAATTCAAAAAAAAAATAATAATAATTATCAAGTATAAAAAACAATAGATTATATGTATGATATGTTTTTTTGGGGCCTTATGCGGTCGCGCAGGTCCGACATGGCGTAAAACGGCCCTGCGCGGTGCGGTGTGGTGTTCAGAATGGTGCGGTATGGTGTGTAGGGGTTAAGAGCGGTATGATAGGGGCCGGGGTTGGTAATCGACTCTTCCGGCTAGCGCAAAACAAGGTTAGCTATATGTTGGTAATCGACCCTTCCGGCTAGCGCATGACTAACAAGGTTAGCTATATGTTGGTAATCGACCCTTTCGGCACGCCTGGGACACGTTGAGAATGGATATGAAAGAGTAGTTGATCGATGTCGTACAGTTAGCTATATCCCATTTCTTTTGCCGCGATCTTAATTAGCTCTATGTTCATAATTACCGAACTATATATTCATAATTTTTGAATTGAAATGCATATTCATAATGATTGAATAACTCTGATCTATATTCACGTACAATTACAGAACTTTATGTTTATAATTTGCAATGTTCATATTCCCAATTGTTGATAACTATACAGTTTTGAAATTATGAATCAACAATACAGAAATTATGAATCTCCAGTATAGAAATTATGAATTTACTATATAGAAATTATTAATCTATACAACTGTATTTAAATTAGAAACATACTGCATAGAAATTATGAATCTACATTATAGAAATCTATGAATCTCGTGTTCTGTACCTATATACCTGGTACTATTTTAATTGGCCGGATGTAGCGACCCGAGTAATTAAACTAATATTTTGTTACAAAATTTCCCTTTAAGCTAAGACAAAATTCCCCTCTAAGACAAAATTTCCCTCTAAGACAAAATTTGGAATTAAATTTTAATTTTGTCTTCCCTCTAAGACAAAATTGCGCACAAATTTCCCTCAGACAAAATTTCCTTCGTTCAGACATCTCCGCTGATCGCCATTCTCGTTAGTGAGAGTGTTCTCCGCCGACCGCCACTAACCATCTCCGCAGTCAGAGTGTTCTCCGCCGACCGCCACTAGCCATCTCCGCAGTCAGAGTGGTCGCCGCCTACCGCCACCGCGTCCAAGCTTCGACGCCGTCGCCGTGTCCAACCTCTGCCGCCATCGCCGCCTCCATCCTCTGTCGTCGTCGGTCCAACCGCCGCCGCTGTGAAAAATAGAGGTTTATGGGGAAAACATTGCGTTGGCCTCTGCCGAATTGTCTCCGGCGGATGCCGTGAAGTCGTGGATGGATGAGAAGAAGGACTATGACCACAAATTGAATTCTTGCGTCGGCGGCATGGAGTGCCACCATTATACGCAGGCGGTTTGGGGCGGTAGCACGAGTATTGGCTGTGCTAGGGTTACGTGCAAAACTGGTTGGATGTTTGTCTCCTGCAACTATTACCCTCCGGGTAACTATATGGGCGAAAAACCATATTAAAGGCAATTTTCTTTCATGATTATTATGATCTTGTGAAATGCAGACAGTGCATTATATTAAAAGAATATAAATATCTAAAAACTACACTAATGTATTATCATGAAACAAATATTGTTTCATGCATATATGTATGTTGATTCAATTCAATTTAATTTGAACTTTTTCTTTTATTACTTCTGGCTAACTATTCTTGAATTTTTTTTTTCATGGTTCATGCATAAATACTAGTCATTAGTCAAGTTTACTAAAAATTTTTTTCACAAATTATTGTCTCTAAAAGAACTTTTTTGATCAAATTGATAATCTACTCATTAGTCAAGTTTACTAAATTTTTTAAAACCAAATGTGCCAATAAATGATAAGCATAATTTTATTCTTTTGTGAACACATAAAACTAGTTCTCAAAAACATCATCATTATGTGCAAATTCTAAAATCTTACAATCTTATAAAAATCTGAAAGTGGTTGAAATATTAAATGATTATAAAGTATTTAGTATGTGGGCGAACCTCCTTGATTTTCTTTCTTGATTAGTATGTTCTTGTGAAATGCAAACAGTGCATTATACAAATAAAATATAAATGTATTTATTATGAAACAAAGGGAAAATTGTAAAAAACGCTCCTCTATAATATGCCAATTAATTATCAATGTCACCCCTGAGTTATGAGTGGTGTAAATGTTGCCCCTCAATTAACAAAATGGTGCACATATATCCCCTCCCGTAACGGATCTGTGGTCCCCCAACTAAATTACATATTTACTCCGACTTAACGGTGTCGTACACTAACGGGGAACTGTTACGGGAGGTGCTATATATGCACCGTTTTGATAATTGAGGGGCAACATTTACACTACTCATAATTCAGGGATAACATTGATAATTGACATATTATAGATGGGCATTTTTTACAATTTTTCCCTGAAACAAATATTGTGAGTTCAATTTTGAACTTTTTCTTGTGGGGACGGGCACTGCTCCAAAATGTCTTTTATAAATATTAAATCTTTTATAAATTTTTTTAGTAACTAAAAATCAAATAAACTTTATAATACATTTTATAATATTTATAAGTTATCAATTTTTATAATGTGTTAATAAATTAATTAATCTCACATAATTTTGTAATAGAAAAAGTCAAGTTCAAATGATTCGAAGTATTTTCTACATTTGTAATATTACGAGTCTTGTTTTAAACAAAAGTATTAACTTTGAAAATGTGTATGTGAATATATATTAATTAACATTGTTGTACTAAAAAGTTGAAATGCCTCAATTGGCCCAGGTTCGCCTCGGATATATTCTCTCGGTTTTGTGATATTTTGCAAGCAGTGGAATTTTCAATTTTTGTTGGAATTTACACTTTTTGGCATCAAACACAACCTCACTTGTATTTTGTATTGCATCCATGAAATGCACGGAATGAAAATTACCTATAAAGGAGGTGATTTGATGACTTTGTTTGAACCCAACATTAAAATATGACTAAAATTATGGTCCAATTCAAAGCTAATCTACTCATCTCGGTACTCACAAAGCAAGATGAATTTAGTAAATATCTAATCTATTGTGGAAGCTAAGCCCAATTAGTGTTTCTCTTATGGCTAAATCATAGAAGTGTGTATAAGATGTAGACATAGAATTTTCTGTGCTTGTTTGTACGTACTGCTGCTAAAACTACAATATGTTGGGATTTTGATGATAGTTTTTGGAATAAAAAGTAGAACCTTTTTGCCATTTAAAGATGAGCTCAAAGATGAGAAGACTTGGTTGCTTAGGTCGTTGTTCTGTTCTGATGAATTTCATTTCACTACTAGGAGTGTTAAGGTTTTGCTTCATGTTGATATGCTCTTTAAACTTTATGAATTTTTTTCAATAATCATTGGCATGACATGATCTGGGTTATTGATAAATTGCAGTAGGGAGTAATATGTGAGGGAATTTTGTGCACCTTTGAAATTGTCTGATCACTTTCCATGAGAGGCTAATTAAGTTTTTTGAGGGGAACGATCAGAGACAGTCTAAACAATAATGTCTTGGTCAGTCAGTTCAGAAAATGTGACTTGAAGGAAATAAGAGGAAAATCAAGCCTCGGGTGGCTTTCTCTATTCTCACAAGAGAAATGGAACAGAGACTCTGGTAAGTTGTGTTGGAGAAATTCTTGAGTGAACGGGAAGTGAGGATATGAAATCTTCAGGCGTGTTATCACTTTCATATAAGCTTTAAAGCTCCTTCATATAAAGAAACAAGGTTCAAGATTTAATCTTATGGGGTACAAGAAGATGAATGAAATGCTTAAGTTGCTTTGTTTAAAAATTTCCTGTAGAAATGTAGCACCGTGATATATCTCAGTTTAATGCAAGTTTATTGCATTTCATATTTTCAGATGTTTCTCCAAATATTTATAGATGCAAATATAGCAGTTAGGAGAAGTTATATGGAGGTTACAGCAGTTTAAAAACTCAATTCCCATAAGACATATCTTAAAAGATACATTAGGCATGGCAAATATAATTATATAAACCATCACTAGTACAGATATGAACATCCGCTACCCTTGTACAGGGCTTTCCGCTACCCTTGTACAAGGGTCGCGGATCTGGGGGAGCCTTGATGTTTCCGTGTCCCTTGTTTGAAATACCGCCCTCTTTTTTAAAATAATACACTACCCTTGTTTAAAGAAGGGTAGCCTAAAGTCATATTTTTTTCCTCAATTTTGTACTAGTGCATATAATTATAGTATAAGTACTGCCTTCAATTTCATGGAGTAATATACAAATATATTATATATATATATATATATATATATATATATATATATATATATATTTATATTTATAACTAATGCGTGAAACATGAATAAGCTACGCAAAAAAATACATATATTAACTTAAATACTCCTTTTCACGCAAGCTACAAACGAAACGAACGAATGAATGCCAACGAAACCAATGAAAGAAAGCCAACGAAACTAACAAAAAGCATGCTCCATCAACTCGTTAAACCCGAATCAATTCTTTTGTTAAATTCCTTCGATCGAATTGATAACTAACGAAATGAACAATCAGCCATCTACTCGTTAAATAACGAATTGATACAACCGAATCTTCCGTTTAATTAATGAATTATGCCACAGTTCGTATTTAAACGAATCAATTCGTCAAGCTCATCGAATTGATTAATACATTCGTTAAATACCAACGATTCGTTAAAACCAACGAATCATGCATATCAATCTAAGTACTATTCCATTTCAATCGTATGCAATATTTATATTTCCCAACTTTCATTCTACTAAACTAAAATAATATTTATAACTCCACAATTCCAAATATTATTTAAGCTTTTCATTGTAGTACATCTGAAACATTAATCTCCATTACTATATAAATTTCAAACAAGTTGAAATCTTTTTATGCATTGCATTCAAATTACAAATTATGAGTAGTGATTTATTGCTTATAGTCAGTATCTGGGGTTGTGCTTCTTGAAAAGGAAGAAATAGCACGGAAATTGCAAAATGCTCTAAATGAAATGAGTAAATTAAAAGCCGAAACTGTTCGACTTCAAGAAGAGTGCAACGCAAGAGAGGTTAGAGAACATAACCTTCGAGAAGTAATCGCATCATTTACACACGGTAAGTATGCAAAAACCCGCTGGAGATAAAGTCGGATTGGGCGACGATCCATCATGTTTTCAAACCCATTAGATACTGACTAATTCTACTACTACTTTAGTCAATAAAGTTCTAATGGTAAAATTTGTGAATAGTTAGTATAGCACATTGAGATAAGGAGTTGGAAACCAAATTAATGCCCGGAAAAATTGTGTCTCAAAGGAGAACCAACGGGTCAAGTGCAATAAAACCTTATAGGAATATGGGAAGAATTCTGAGAATTGGGGCTGGGAGATTATATCCCTCAGAACAAGATTGGTTGCTTGTAGACAAACCATGGACCAAGTCCAGATTTGCTACTTTATATAGGTTCAAGCAACTATCTGCTTCCCAACCCGCACCGAATCATTATTCACAAGTGCGTTATGATTATAGAGTTTTCAATGGTTACAAATCACCTACTCTTGGGTCAGTGGGTTATAGGTGGATTTGGATGCCAAAAATTACTAATACAAAAGGACCGAAACAAATCTAGGTACCTAAGAACAATTAATCTTTATTGCAGAAAATTTTGCATTTCGATAGCGAATGCTCTCTACATATGACCGGCAATAAAGCTACTCTAGTTGAGTTCAAAAGCATCGAAGGACCTAAAGAAGTTTTTTTTGGAGGAAACGATCGATACGGAATAACAAAAGGAACATGAACAATTGTAAAGAATGGCTTACGAATTGAGGACGTATCAATCGTTGAAGTATTAAAGTTCAACCTATTTAGCACATGCCAAATTGCGACAAAGGTTACCTCGTAGAATTTTTCAAAGACAAGTGTCAAGTCAACGAAGAATCTACGAAAGAAGTCGTACTCGCTGGATCGAGAAAGAAAAATATGTAAGTTGTTGATTGGAGTACAAGGAAGGAATCCGTATGTTCGGTGGCGAGCAATTCAATCGATGCAAGTTGGGAATGGCTTAGAAGGCTAAATCAATTGAATTTCTAAACCGTCAATCAGCTTGCAAGAAGTAAGCTAGTTGAAGGTCTACCCAACATTGTGTTCAAGAAAGATCAAATTTGCGATGTATGTCAGAAAGGTAATCAAATCAAAGCATCTTTCAAATCCAAAGCTCAAGAATCAACATCAAGACCCCTTAGTCTACTACCCATGGATTTATTCAGTCCAGTAGACACAGTAAGCCTAAGTGGTAAGAAATACACTTTGGTTGTTGTTGTTGATTTTTTCAGGTACACATTGACAATATTCATCAAGAAAAAGAATGAAGTTGAATCAAAGTTGTCGGAGCTACTAAAGCAACTACAAGTCGAGAAGGACATGAAGATTGCAACAATTCGAACCGATCGGGGAACCAAATTTGTAAACAATGTAATTCGATTTTATTGCACTTCACAACGGATTCATCACCAACTTTCTGTCGCACGAACACCGTAACAAAATGACATAGTTGAAAGAAGAAATAGAACACTCAAAAGAAGCTGCACGAGTCACGATACAAAATGCGAAAATATTAGTATTTTATGTGATAATACTAGCGCGATTGCAATAACCCAAAATCCATTAATTCACTCGCGAACCAAGAACATCGACGTTCGAAATCATTTCATATGAGACCACGTCGAAAAGAGAGATTTGAAGATCGACCATGTTTCCACGGAAAATCAAATTGCCGACATTCTCACAAAACGGTTGTGTGATTCTCGTTTTGCGACCCTAAGGCACGAGATGGGAATGATCGAAATGAACTAAGTATTTCGAAATCCTTAAGTTGTGTACATGTTTTTCGTGTGTAATTTCATGAAATTTTGTCACTTATATGCTCTATGTGATTTAATTTGAAGTAATTTGTTATGTGTTATGTGCAAAATTTGTTTATTTTATCTTACGAATTTTGGGTACGTAGAGTCGGCATGAAAATAATTGATTTAATTGTGTTTCTCGAAGGGAGTATATAATGTAGGGGGGTCCTAGTCTAACAATTGTTTTGTTGGATACAAACTGTTTTGTTGGATACAAACTGCTCAATGTGAATTCTGTGCATAATTGATATGTAAGTATGACCTGCTTAAGTCAAATGTTTTGATTTGCTAAATTTTCATGATTAATCTGTCAAAATTAATTTTGTTAACAGTTGTGCTTATTTGGTTAAAATTGATTATCTGCACCTAGAAGAAATTATCAGCTTTCTTGGTATTCGGAATCGAAGCAAAAATTATAGCTGGATTACAATTATTGTACAAACAATTATTTTCTAGAAATTTTTGGTCTCTATGTTTTTCTTCTCAGTGCGGTTATATGAAGATTAATTTTTGACACCATGTACCTACAAATGTAGTATTAAAGTCTGAGCTGGAAAATTTAAATTTGTGAAAATCCAAAATTACCCTCAAATGTTCTACAGCCTCTTGCTATCCACTAAAGGGCAAGATGATAATTTTCTAGGCATTTAATTGCCTCTCCAACGGGTAGAAGGAACCTTCTTCTTCCCTCACTCTCACCGCCGACCGAAACTTCAATCCAAAAAGAAATCCCTAGAACCCTCATCTACAACCCTACCCAACCCAAATCTTCCACACAAATCCATTCTACACACAAATACCCATAACCCATCCTCACTGTTACCCTAAAAAACACTTATAAATCAAAACATATTCCCCACCCCTTTTCTGACTGCCGAAACCGCACCACTGTCAAAACCAACTCAACTCAAAAATTTCCTAAATTTCATCTACAATGTAGGAAGACCCAACTCAAACCGAGATCGAAACTACCACGGAAGGATCAAAGAAGTTTACCTGATTGCTAAATAGGATGATCCTAGACACCAGGGATTTCAACAACCATGTTTAAACAAAGGAGTTAGGGGTAAAAATCATCAACTTTCTTGAATCTTGTGGCTTAATGAATGTAGTACTTTTAGTACTTAAATAATGTACTTTCTCTGAATACAATGTATATTTTTAATATATTAAAAGTATATTATTTGTATACTGTATATACATTATTTGATATTGTGGTCCACATAATAATGATTGAATTACAACTATGTAAGTTTTGATTATTTTTAAATGTTTGAGAATATGTATACATCTTAATAATTTTCAATATTAAGAGGAAGCCAATTAAAATAAACAACAAACAGAAATGAAAAGACTTCTGGAATTTTTTAAATATATCAATCTAACATAATTTAATGACGAAAAATAAAATAAATTTTATAATATTTATAAGTTATCAATTTTTATAATGTATCAATAAATAAATTGATCTAATATAATTTAGTGATATAAAAAATCAAGTTCTAATGATATTGCAAGTGTTTTATAAAATTTTAATATTACAAGTCTTTTATAAATTTCTAATTTAGTAGAAAATATTGTTAATTTTTAATTTTGAGATTAATGGTTCAAATCTTATTTTAAAAAATATTAACTTCGAAAGTATGTGTGTGAATATATATTAATTAACATTAGTGTATTAAAAAGTTTAAGTGCTTCAATTGGACATT